AGGCGAGAATTTAGTCTTCATCTGTTTTAAACGATAATTTTTCTTTAGTTGTGATCTCTTTCCCAAGATTTGTAACTGATTTAGCTAGAAATATTCACTTGGGAAGCCTTCTTAGAAGTCATTATGCCTAGTTATGTACACTCTTCTCTCCACCTTATAAAATGCCTTTTCTTCCTAATGATTTTATTTGCTTCTAAAGTTTGTAAGTTCTGATTTTTTCCTCTCCTTCCTTTCTGTTCTCCCTGCTATCATTCCATACCAAGTCTCCTCCCTTTCTTTTTCATACAATATATGCATGTCAGTTTATATTTCTTTGACTACTATACTCATCTTGTCTTTCTCTTATGCAGAAAAAGACAAGCTTCTTTTTCGGCTTCCCAATGTTTTCCCATATATTAGTAAGTCCAGATTCTCATGATTAGCATAGGGCAATCTCCATATTTGGCTCCTACCAAGCCTTTTTGTTGAGTAGTATCTTCTGTAGTTCTGATACTTTCCTATTGCTTCCATGTTGCTCACCTCATTTCCACCAACTGGAGTTTTCTAGCCTCCTGGCTACTATTTGCTTTTGTTTAACATCCTTCTGTTAAACAAAAGTCTGCTGTTAACTTCTCTATCTCATAGTGGGCTATTTCCTTTTCAGTACTGAAAATATTCATCATTGGTATCATTCATTTTCTATTTACTTATACAGCCCTCTTGTTATTTTCTACTCTGTTATCTTACTTTTAAAATTCTGTGAACAATTAAGTTGTCTAACTGCATTAGGACAAAAGCCCTGGTCTCAAATCTCTGACTCCTTTGCTCAGATTATAGGCACATATTAAGAAGGTTTTAAAGTTGTCAGTTTTTCTTGAATTTGGCAGAAATTCAGGAAACTGGGGACATTTGAAGATGATTTGGGGCATTTGGTGATCTTTAGGTTGATCCAAATTGTACTGGTTCTCTTGGTGATACTGGTCTCACCTTAGAACAGTTAATTTTCTGGATTGACTCCAATTTCTGGAATGTGAGGTAGAGTTGTTCGTATGTTATTCTTGAGTAGGCCCTTCATTTATGCAGTGATTCTCTAAGTGTCAATCTAATCTCTTTCCCCTTCTCTCCCCTCCTTGTTTTAAAAAATGGAATCTTTTGGGACTTTGTCCCCAAAACATTTATTTTTATTGTAAGATTTTATATTATTACCAGAGGCCCGGTGCATGAAATTTGTGCA